TACAACACTCAAAGTTGTTACTTGTGACCTTGTAGTGTAAAAGTCTTTTTCCTTCATTCATGGAATACTAAGGAGTTCTTGCTTCCTCAAAACTGTAGCATTTTAAAAAATTGCAGACGTAGCATTTTTAAGAAAAATTCTACGCTTGTTAAAAAAAGGTGATATTGATTTTAGTGTATATATACCCAACACACACCCACGCAGAAATGCCACTCTATACACCCAAGAAATGCCACTGCTTGGGTGTATATACACAAAAATCACTACACTCTTTAAAAAATGTTGTAATATCATGACACAAAATTTATCAAAACAAGCAAAGAATGCAATGGGTTTCAAAAGGTTAAGCAAAGTAGAATATGTAATTAAAAAAAACACTTGTATCTGCATAATTTCATTGAACCGCTCTAAATATTTTGGTGCTAATTTTGAAATGATTGTAATGGGAGAAAAGGCAAAATCATGTATCATCATGTATGGTGCAAATTTCTTCCGTTGTTGCTAGTGTTTTTTCTTAGAGAAGGATATGAATGCTAGTCTATTTATTGATTGTTAGTTACTGCAAATCGATCACAGTTTTCACTCTCACCACTCACTCATTAATAGATTGATGGAGAATAGATTAATTTGGAAGTTATAAGTACATACTTGATGACTTTAGATGAAAAGCTCAATAAATTTCAAATGTAAGGTAGGCAAATTCTTTAAACGGTAAAAGCGAAGGTGCTTGCTACGTTGAAAGTCCTACTTTTGATAAAATTATGATGGTATACTCAACTATATACAAGAGATAAAAACTTTGCTTTCTCCGTGTCAAGTTCTGGCAATGTCTGCTACTTTTTACCATACTGCCGTCAACAAGTTCGGATCATACGCAACTTCAACTTAACAACTTTTAAATCTCAAAAACTAGTGTATATTTCAAAGAAGTAGTCGGATTCAAATTCTAATGCACAGAAAAGTTGAAATCATTGATAACATCATTTTTCTCTTATAACATAGATACATAATTTTCCTTCACACATGTATTGAAGCTCAAGTCACTAGTAAATAAATATACTTCATTCTCTAACTTTCAAACAATTATCATTTCTCAAATGACAACCAGCTTTGGCTTGTTGATGTGATTATGAAATATCCACTTCATTTGCAAACGCTTCTTATATGCTAAGGTGATGGCTACAGCGATATTCATTTTATTAAGCATTTTCATCACATGTGCAAAAATCATACAAATTCAAATCTTCTTTCCTAGATGTTCTCAGTTATACCATCTAGATTAAGATGACATGATCAATTTCAGGCTCAAGACTTCACGTATCTTCCAAAAATCAAGTTGAAAAGTTTTGAAACTTTTGATAGAAGCTATTAATAGAAGCTTAATTTTAACTATGTACGCAATGACTTCTCATCTACAGCGCAAAATCCCAATTCCTCTATCGTGACTCCGCCTCTAATCTTCCCAAAATTTACACTACTCATCACATCACACGCGTAAAATACGCTAAATCATCACAAACAAGATAACATTTCAAAAAATAGCACTATCAAAAAAAATCTACGGAAACAAACACTCTAATACCATTTGCTAAAAGAAAATACATTAAAAAATCATAAAACGATAAACAAACAGCATTGCACACAATTTTTGACGCCCACAAATATATATTCAAACATAAAATATATTTGATTTATCACTACAATTTAATTAAAATTGTTAATTGTGTTACTAAATGCCATGGTCAGCTGATTTAAAATATGACAAATAAATAAATCTAAAATAGTTTATCTAACCAATATCAAAATAATCAATGTTCAATTCATACATGAATAAATTTACAACCATCTACCTCTTAATTTATGTTTTGAGAATAATAATTTTTGAATAGTAAATTATTTAAAAAACTGGATATAATATAGAATTTAATATCATGTTGTTTAAAAATATAAATAAATAGAATAAATTTAAATTTATCTAAATTTATCAAACTATCTTTCAATGCAACAAATATGATAACAACGAATATAATATAAAATTCATACATTGTCAATTTTAAAAATTGCATATGATTTTTTTGACTTTATGCTACGTCATTGAGCAGATGATCAAACTTTTGAGATAAAATTACATTATGTTTTAAACATTTCGCAACAAGAGTCTTGTATATATGGTTTTTTGCAAAATAGCATTACATCATGTTTAGATGAATTTATTGATATGACATCTTTTTACATTTAGTATATCAACCAGGTTATATTTGATACATAATTAGCTGCAATGAATAAATTTTGATTGCATTTAGATCAATTGTTGCAAATTTTGTTGCTTAAAATTCTAGATATCCAATAAAACTTGAAGTTTAATTTTTATGTTAGAGTTGTTTGTCATTGTACCAAATGTTAGGTGTGAATGAACTTCAAAAGACTTAAAAATTAAAATAATGAAACATATAAAAGAATTTTATTTTTTTGAAAATGGAATATTATATTTTAAAATTCTAAATTATGTGTAAATAATTTTGAGGTTTCATTTCGGTTCTCAGGGACCGAAACGAAACGCTCGTACTGCGGTTCCCTCATCCGGCTCCCATAGGAGACTAGAGGAATGATCAAAGGCATCTAGGTAGACCAGTGGCGGCTAGTCTCCCAGTTCTGCAGTAGTTTTATCGGGTGATACTACCGATTTTGGCGTTTAGCTGCATGAAGCGGGTCATAGTATTGGCAGAGCTTGGTCGCTTAGTTCATGACAAAAAGTTTTCTGGGTATATAAAACACCAAGTTCTGTAAAACCAAAGAAGTCTCCGGACCCTTCTTTCTCAGCAATTTCGACGAAGGAAATCGTAAAGCCGGCCAGAGCTCAAAAAATACAATCAATGCTACTTGATACATATATTACTAGTTAATGTGATGATGAATGTGAGTTTTCAATTTAGCTACAAATTACTTGATAGTGAGCTCCAAATGAATTAAAAGATCCAAACAACATTGGGTTAGCACTAACATTAATAAGCTTCATGTTACTACTAATGTCACGTGTAAAAGTTTCAAAATCTTGTGAAAGTTAGATGACAATGAGCTTCGAGTGATAAGCTTTTAGATTGAATTTTCATCTTAACTTTCAATTTTTGCAAGATTGAAGCTACACACATAGACATCTCGTGTATTGTGTACTGATAAATTTAACACATTTTAGTTATTTTGAACATAAATGTAAAAAATGTGAGATATTTCTATCAACAAGGTTTGATAACATTATATAATATATAATTTTAAAAATATTATAATTATAATATATGTTTTATAAATTTAAAAAATATATTTATATAATGTTGATTTTTATAAATATTATATATTGCAATCAATTTAGTTCTTCTGGAATAAATAGCAGATTAAAAACCATCAGTTTGAATATAAGAAGTGGGATATGAATCTTGAATCTTATAAAATATATAAATAAGTATTCAATTTTCATTATAGATAGGCTGCAGTTTTCTTGATTTTTTTCATTTTCTTTTCAAAAGTCATACTTATACATTTTTTCTTATGTACTTTGTTTCAAATTTTAAACTCTCTAAATATTGATGATGATGCTACAATAATAATGATTTATGTATTTTTTAAGGAAATAAAAATTTTGATATTGGGTTTATTTTAAAATCTGTTTTAAATATAACATACATAATTATTTTCACAAGAATTTCTTTATAAAGTGTATTTATTTCATTGAAGAACATACAATATGTAGATAATTTTTGTAGATAATATAACATCATGATACAATTTATGCTTAAATTTTAATCATCAAATGGAATGATGTTTGGGGCAGAAGGATAATTGTTCAATAAACGAAAGATGACGCTTGAAGACTTCATGTTTACTGCATTGTTTGTACTAAAACGTTAATGGTGACGATTTTTACTAACTTCTGAACGTGATGTAGCTCTATGTTAGTCTCACTACAATCATGATGTAATTTGATGACATTTCAAAGAAAAAATTAAATTTAAAAATTTTAAAGATCAAATATTATATTTAAATATGATCGAAAGATTATAAATTATTTATATAATCAATAAATTTGTGGTCTTTCATTCTATGTTGGACTTATAAAATGTATTCTTAGAGTAGTGTTTGAATCTAGATAATACTTTTGAAGAAGTTAGTGTTTGACATGTAATAATCTTATCTATTTTTTAATTCTTTCATGTGATTGAGTGAAGAATAAAATAAAATAAAATAAAACATTTCCTAAATTTTTGTATCAATTCATGAATTGATTGGAGTCTCAAATTATTCTTGGAATTAGCAATGACCTACACTTTCATAAATGAGAAAATTATATTGCCAATAGTGATTTAAATCTTTCTTGGAAATTTTATTGAATAAGGTTCATCATATCATATATTTTGTTACAACAATCGTTTATTTATAAAATTTTCTTAGTCTTGGGTTATATTGTATCATTGAGTTCAATGAGTTCATTGTTTACGATATTTTGATTATAAATGGCATTAGTAGATAAAGTATTCATAAAACAGGATTCTGCCTACGATAGTACGATACAACACAGTATGTAGTATATTTATCTAACACATTGCTTTCATTAGGTTAAGTTGTAAAAATCGGTTTTTCTTCGACAGTATGAAACTTCGTTAGTGACAGTGTGGTGAAACCAAATACATGGGACTAACCTAGATAATTGTGGCTACATTTGAAAGTAGTTAGAAGATTTTTGACTTTATTTTTTATACGTTTTTTCATTATAGGTGGTGTCACAACATGCATGTTTAAAAACAAAAATAACTCAAATGAATTTGATTTCTTCAAGTTAGCCTAGACGACATGATTGATACAAAAAGATATGATAATCAATATCAACCATTGAATTTCTTGAATTTATAGTGGATACAATGTGTATATCCATTAAAATGTTGTATATACTGTCTATATGAAATATATAGCGGTCGGTCCTCCGCAGGCTCTGTCCTGCACTTTGAACCGGACCGGCGGGACTCGGTTTCAAGCGGTCGTAGGAATGGGCTCAAAATCTTCTTGCTATTCATTCTCTCGTTCCCGTCTCCTCGAGGAATCTTTTCACGCGATCGATGTGTTTTTCGTTGTTTATCTCGTCCATCGTCTTACAGGAAGCCTGAATCAATCTAGTAGATCAGAAGCCTTGATTCATTCTTTTGGCCATGGAGCGCGCACCATCTTCTTTATGCAGGTGTGCGTGGCGACTACGTGTTCAAGCAAGTGCTGGACTTCGCGCGACTCTAGAACGGCGACTAGGAGAATAAACCCTTCCCGTTGACAGCGCCCGAGAGCGCAATCACGAGTCATTAACAACGGCAGACTGCATTCGGGTACGATGGCCTTTGTTTATATCCCAGTGCAGAATTCGTCTGAGGAGGTGCGAGTCGCTTTGGACCAACTCCCACGAGATGCCACAGATATTTTAGACATCCTCAAGGCTGAGCAAGCTCCTCTTAATTTGTGGCTTACATTTGCGGTACTTAAACCCTCCATTCCTTCATTTAATCCGAACATGCGCAGAGTTTTTAACGTGTTTAAATTGTTGAAGCAATGAACTTCTTATCAGGAGAGCTTGGGACTACTTGCTATAGTGTCTGTCGTACTCTCAGCAGTTGTAGAAGTGAGGTCGAGAGTTGCTATTTGACACAAATTTACAGTCCTAGTGAAACCCGAGAGTAAGTCTGTGTGCATGTTTTGTCGTTGTTATTTTGAATGCTATCAAATGCCCATCTTGTAGCAGAGTGGTTTGTATAACTGACAGGTTTGACAGACGTTCGTGGCACATAAATTTTAAATTCGCAACCTCTGTTCAAATGCAGAGAGAGTATTTCAAGCAAGGGAAGATAAATGAATTTTTGCTGATTCTGCGAGAGGGATCGAGTCCAGGTATGAATTGCCCGATGGTGGCAAGGAATATGCCTGAAGGAAATGGCTTAGCAGAGGATTGATGCGTGGAAAGGTGTCCGTTTCACTTTCCTGCTGAGCTCTAAGAAGCCTCGACGTTGAGAGGTTCCACTTCTCACTCGTTGTTACGCTTTTCACAGAGATTGATGAGTACTATAGTGACGTTAAGTACGACCGAATTGCAATCCTAAATGCCTTGGGAGCTTATTATACCAATTTGGGCAAGGTGGAGCAAAAGCAACGAGAGAAGGATGAACATTTCATTAGTGCAACACAATTTTATAATAGAGCATCCAGAATCGACCAGGATGAACCTACTACTTGGGTTGGAAAAGGTACCGTCACTAAAATATCCCATGACCCATCATTTCGGTGCAAACGATCCTTCATCCTATTGCGCCACAAGGTCTAGGCTTTGTGACAGTACACGTTTCATCCTCTATGTTCACTTGATTCGGTTGTTAAATTACTCTTGAAATACAATACCGGATCCACAGGGCAGCTGCTGCTGGCTAAAGGTGATCTGGACCAATCCTACGAGGTTTTCAAGATTGTCCTGGATGGACAACCCGACAATGTGCCAGCTGTACTTGGGCAGGTTCGTAACCTGGAGTATTCAAGCAGAACTGAAAAGTTTTGGGTGGCTTGTAATCTTGACGAAACGAGGCCTTCAAAACTCAGTTTCATCAGAGCAGCTTCTTTACTTCGTGTCTAATGTAGTTTGCTCTTTTAATGTTGACAGGCTTGTGTTCAGTTCAATCGCGGTCGATTTCAAGAAGCACTCAACTTATACAAGGTATTTGTTTGTACCAATCTTGTTTGAGGCACTCTTCAGCAATTTTAGAATTATGCTTAGACGATATGACGTTGTAGGTTACTTTCATGTACATTACAGTCATGTGGATCACTGGCTTCTTCATTTTAGATTGGAACAAAATGTGGGATTCGATAGTTGGTTTAGCCGGATTAACAGCGTGACTTGAAGAGTAATCAGACACAGAAGTTTCCTGCTTGTAATGCACCTTTCTCTCTTGCTTCTTCTTTTACACGAAACTTTGTGTATATTACTGACGCCAGTGCCTCTTCGCTTAGTGATAAGTTTTGACCGATAAAACTTAGTTGATCACGTCTATTTCAGTTGTTTCCGATAGTACTAATAACAGACGTTGTGACTGTAGAGGGCCTTGCAAGTTCACCCAAGGTGCCCAGCTTCGGTCAGGCTTGGTTTAGGATTATGCCGATATCGTCTCGGACAGATGAAGAAGGCAAGGCAAGCCTTTGAACGTGTCCTGAAGGTATTTCCCTACAAAGTTAACTTTCTGTTGTAATTCCTCTTGACGAGCTAAGCTCTCCAACTGGATTAGCATTTTTTGTATGTCATGATGCTGTTAGGTTTGTCATTAGAAATGTCCGGAAAGCATTGCCTCGCGCAAACACGAGCTGCTACGGTTACGATGAAAGACGAGAGAACTACTACCTACTGTCAGCATGGAGCAACGCTTTATAGTTGTTAAGTCTTCTTAGGTAATGAGGCCATGTTCAGGACTATTAGTATTGAGTGATCCTAGATCCTGTATATTTAGGTCTTTCATTCGAGTACGAGCCCGTTCTAACGGATAATGGTTGGTGTTTGTGATTCAGCTCGACCCGGAGAATGTAGAAGCATTGGTGGCGTTGGGTGTAATGAACATAAACACCAATGAACGTATACACCAAACCACGTCCTTGAATATCTAACTAAGTTTTGCTTGATGAGGATGTTCGAGGGCAGCTGAAAATCCGTATATGTTTTTGAGGTAGTGGTTTCTGGTCAGGGAGTTTGTCCACGGGTTCAGCTAGGTTGTTTCTTCGGAACTTACTCCAGTCCGATTATTCTTCCACTTGTGCAGCCGATGGGGTCCGCGAAGGCTTGGAGAGCATGAAGGCGGCCTACGAAATTTACCCTTATTGTGCAATGGCTTTGAATCACCTGGCAAACCACTTCTTCTTCACGGGGCAACATTACATAGTAGATCAACTCATGGATGCTGCGCTTGCCGCGACGGACCAATCAAAAATCAAAGCAGTGTCTTATTACAACCTCGCCCGATCGTATCACACAAAGGTTAATATTTTCAAGGACCATGAACTAAAGAAGTCGTAATTGATGTGAAATTTGAAAATATGAAGTGCCCTCTTGTGCAATGTTCTGCAGACTTGAGCTTGTCAATTCTTCATCACGTTATGTAGCATATGGAGGCGGTCATTATGACCGCTTTCATGTTACGCTCTTGTGGAATTCTTAGAAAAGGATACTACGAGGAACTTGTTCACCTTTATACATTCTTGTTAGTTCTGGAGTCCATTTTCTGCTCTCTAGACTTCCTTATAGTACAGATTGAAAGCGACTTCCAACATTCGCGGGGCCGCTTTTTACGAATTATCGTTGCATTTAATTCCTGATACAGCTGGATTCCGTTTCAAGACAGCTGAAAAATGTGAATCTTATTGCGTCAGTTTTCAGAAGCTTGGTGTATATTTATGAGTGCTTGGATGGTGTTTGCAGAGTGACTATACCAATGCGGCTGTATACTACAGAGCATCAATCTCAGAGCTCAAAGATCCACGTGAATTCATTCTGCCTTATTACGGTTGGTTCTATTCTTCGTCATGTCCTCGCATTCCTGGAAACGAAGTGAACTTTTATCCATATACTATTGGTATTGTTTGAAGTTCGAATCTCTGAGAGCTTTGATTACAAAGCCAGTAAATGCGACTGCCTCTGTTTTACCATATTTAGGTGGTTAATTACAGGTTTGGGCCAGGTGCACTTAAAACTTGGCGACTTGAGGACTTCTTTGTCCCATTTTGAGAAAGTTTTGGAAATTCACCCGGACAACTGTGAAACTGTGAAGGTGTGTTTTAAGCGTGAAAAAAGTGTTTTCGATTGTCTATCCTTTATCTTTAAGAGCCACTCTTTGTTCTCTTTCGCTATACTTCACCGCGCCGTTCAGTTTCTTGCTCTTGTAACGCTTCTTTGTGACATGTATTTTGCATACGTGTGTAGGCCATTGGAATAATTTATTTACAGCAAGGCCGCACGGACAAAGCTTTGGAGAATTTTAAGAAGGCGACCAAGCAAAATCCTCGCGATGTCGATGTAAGAGTTCTCGCACTCTTCCCTAGTGGGTGGAGCTTATGTGACCTCCCTTCATCTTCTGAAATTTTTTATCGTTCTGAACAATAAATATGATATTCGTAGGATCTAGAAGAAAAGATATTGCCCACGTCAATTTCTTGGGAGAGGTGAAAGTCAGCCGAGGAGGATACAATATTCGGGAGATGAAGGAAGATTTCGGACTAAACTTTGATGCAAGAAATGCGTGTTTGCACCTGGTGATCCTCATCCAATGTTATCTGATCGGGATTATATTATGGCAATCTTCTTCTGATCAGTTTGTGGATGTTTAAAACCATACAGGCTTGGGTAGAGTTGGGTGAACTTCTCGTTTCCACTGATTTTGGACAAGCATTGGAGGCATTCAAAACCGTAAGTTTGATTTTAAAGATTTTCTTTCCTGGTTTTTGTGGGGCAAGCGTAGTGAGTTTACTGTATTCTTTACATGAGGGAACCTACAATTCTAGGACGCGAGTCTGGGTGAGTTTTGATGGTGAGATTCGTGTACCACAAAACAAGGCTAGTTTTATCCTCCTTAGTGCTTAGGAACATGACTGTCTTTTGATACCTATTTTGTCTCTGGATGAGTACTTTAAGCTGAAATGAGGCAAGAATTTATCTTGAGGCTTCAAGTCTTCTGCTTGCTACTATTTCGTCCAAGGCTGCGGTGAGGATTACTGTCTCAGCACAAGTTCATCTCGCCTTCTTGAAGGAAGAATAACATATATTTGGGGGTTTGGCAGGCACATGCTCTTCTTACCAAAAGCGAAGAACCTATTCCGTTTGGTCTGCTCAACAATATCGGTGTCCTTCACTTCGAACGAAGCGAGATGGAGGTAAGAAAGCTTTACTCTTGTTGTCGAGTTGCTATATCCATGGGGATGTAGCCCGACGTCTAGATTCAGCCTATGTGTATGAGACAATAGTATAAGAATATCATCGGGCGCAATATCCTGCCTGAAATCAAGTCTTCGTCTTTCATGTGAGGTCAATCCAGAACGCCACCCTACCATGGGTGTAGACATGCATGTTTCAAGTTTTATATCCTCCTCTTTTCAACTGATTTAGAGTTCGGGTGTTGGTTTTTATGTTCCCAGTCTGCACTGCAAGCTTATAGAGATGCCTTGGGTGAGGGTATCTGGGTCGACTTTAGTGAGGGAAGAGCTCTTTCACTTGGTCGTGAAGGTGGGCTACCTATCAGTATTACTGCTGAGAATTCTCAATTTGAGCATCTGGAAGAAGAAGGCCTTTCTTTGGAACTTCCAGCCGAGAAAGTCACAGTTCTTTTCAATCTCGCAAGGCTTCATGAGCAGCAGCATGAGACTCAAAAGGCAGTTATCTTGTATCAGCTTATTATACATAAGGTGATATGCCCATCCATATCTCCTTCGTAGAGGTTACGGGCACAAAATAGTTGTCATGATGTGCGATAAGATGCGTTTGTTCTGTTTTTCACTTTTTTCTGCATAACCTCTTCTGGGTATGTGGATGGAAGAGCAGTATTGGGTCGATCGCTGAGTACGAATTATGTAAGATGTATGCATCTAAGGTGTACCTTTTATTGTTATTTCCTGGTAAGGTATAACCGGAAAAGAACTCCTGGATTGCACATTTTCATCTTAAGTGTTGTTTTCTCCTAAAGCTTTGAATTTGAAATGGTTGTAAAGCTGGAGCCTTGGATGAATGTGCATACCAACGCATTATTGCATAATAATTTGTTGGAAAGAGGGGTATTGACCGTGAAGCAGTCAATTGGCGATCACGGGTGTGTTGCTGTCAAGTAAACTGCTTACGGTTGTTGACGTTTTGACATGAGCTGTGTGGGTGCCACCTCAAATCTACTTTCTGGAAGGAAATTAGCTGACGATTTGCGCATTGACAAAATGATTTCAGCATCCTCAGTATGTGGACGCATACATGCGGCTGGCAGCCATGGCACTCGCGAGAAATGATTTGGCATCAAGTCAGGAGTTGGTATGTTCCAGTTTTCTTTTTTTATTTCTGCACCAGATGTGGGTACCTGCCACTGTCTCAAGTGGCTGAAAATTGTGTTGCTGAAGCAGTACCTGTGCTCGGAAATCAAATCTACTATTTGTATTGCACTTAGTCGAGCCTATTAACACGTTTTCAAGTGAGGATAAATTTCTCCTGAATTGTTTTCAGTTTCCAAGCCTGCAGCTGAAGATGTCTCTAATTCTGGATTCAACTCTTCCGGACAATGTTGGTAGGTCTCCAAAGTGCTGAAGGTGATGGAAACTCACGCCGATGCGCTGTCCATGAGAGGCAGTCTGGAACTTAAAGCGGACGATTGGTTGAAAGCCAAGGAGACGTACAAGAGCATACAAAATACAGACGGCAAAGATAGCTATGCTCTATTAGCCCTGGTAAGTTCCATCATTTATTCGATGCTTTCAGGGGATTTAGGTTTATTGCAGTTCGTTGCAACACAACATTTAAGCAGTGACAAGTGTATAGATCACACGTCGGTCCCTTTTTTGCAACTACACCGTGCACATCACGCAAGAGTTCTCGTGAACGTTCCTTTACGCAATATAGTGCTTTGCATGGTGTTAAAGAAGATATTTGCCGATCATGCAGGGCAACTGGAATTACTATGCAGCCGTGAGAGGAGAAAGGAAGGATCCCAAATTGGAAGCAACTCATTTGGAAAAAGCTAAAGAGTTGTACAACAAGGTATGATCGAATTCTACACCTGCTGCTCTCCTGTTATTTAGTTCCTTTGCTCGTCAGCGCCTCTCCGAGTGTCTCAAATCAGGGTTAGTAACCGTGTTGAGGTCATTGAAAACAATAATAATTGTCAGAGCACTCAGCTAACCAGTCTCAATTTGCCAATTTCTGTAAAACTTTTTCCTTTTTATGGATGCCCAATAGCCTCTTCGTGCATACTCCTCCTAGTGATCATCGCTTTGAACTGATCATTGTTCCCGTTTTGAACTTATCAAAGTTGTCACAAACCCCGTGTACCTTTATTTTGATTACTCAAATTGTAAATGAAATGGTCGCAGGTTTTGGTGCAAAAGCCGAATAACATGTATGCTGCAAATGGAATCGGGATTGTGCTGGCTGAGAAAGGAATTTTTGATCTTTCCAAAGAGGTCTTCACTCAGGTACATTTGTGCTGGATTTGAGAAGAGTCAATGCAATTATGCAGCTGTCTGACGTGTGGTTATGTATCTTCTTATTGTTTTTCTCTTACTTTTGTCCTCGGGAATACTTGTACCTTCCGTAATAGTTGATAAAGAATTGATGTGTTGGGGATGGTCGTTCAATACATGGTTAGTGGTGTTCCGTTTACGGACTGACTGATGTGTTAATGCTCTTTCAGATGTTTATTTTTGTTAACAGTTTGTCCTTTCTTATCTAATTTTCTTCTCTTGTCACATTCATTGCTTCCGTGTTGCTCCTCAACTGTCAATATCCTTCTGCTTGACTTTGCCCTGTGTCCGCCCTTCATGTTGTATGTTTTCGGTCTCGTTCATATGCTGCATCTCTGGAGTTTACGCAAGGTGTCACATAATTATGTCATATCTGTAACAATGTCAGGGTTTATCACCAGGCCTCCTAATGATAGAGCAATGCTTTGCATCCAGTCTGTGCCGGAGTACTGGCGTGTTTGAAATCATATTTGTTGGTAAAGATTGATTACTGCCTCTGAACAGTTTTGTGACTGCGCATACAGGATATACATGATCCATGTCTATGCGACCTATTCCTTACAGACTTGGGTCACACCTCATGTGTATATGCAGACCCTGCTAGGTTTTTCTCCTCCAGATCCTTACATTTTGTACTCCCCATCATCCCTGTAACTCGTCGATGCAGTCTACTTTTGAATTGCTTCAAATCAAATCTTTTCTAGCTGCAGATCCTGCTCTTCGATCGCGGGCCACCAACCTTAATGCAAACCAGAATATGGTACTGCAGTTGTTACATATTCCACTTGAGTACTACATCCTGACCATCTGTGTTATGTGGACATTCTGCGTTTGTGTGTATACAAGACATCGGACAGTCAACTCTTTCCCTTTATTTTGTCGGACAGTTTTTGGGTTTTGTGGTGTCCGACAAAATTAAGTCCGGTGGGCCGGCTCCAACCCTGCAGTGAAACACAAAAGCTGTTAGAGCAAGTGCAAGGGCATCGGTGCGCGTAGCGCCCCTTGCACTTGCTCTTTTTTAGGGCATGTGGCCCATGCACTGCCTTTTGCACATCGACGTTGATCCGTCTGAATTTGATGCAATTCATTACACATTTATCATCTCCATGCATTGCTTCAAAACTGCCTGCTTGCTTTCCAGTTTAATAATCTACGTTTGCCTCTACACAACCGAGTAGAGTAGAGTTTTCGTCGTCAGTTCTTTCCAATGCTCACTGTAGAAGACTATTTTCCATCCAAGCGAAGGTGTTGGCCCATAGATCCTCATCTCATGTTTCCAATCCTTAACCTCATTACCCATATGTGTTTCCAGGTACAAGAGGCAGCTGCGGGAAACGTTACCGTTGAAATGCCAGATGTCTGGATCAATCTTGCCCACATCTATCTCGCACAAGGGCAATTCGCCCTGGCGATAAAGATGGTCAGAAACTTGACTTTCAACTTGTGTTACATTTATTGCTTGCTTTGCTTACGTAATTTCCACCAGGACTCGTCTAGGAATGTTGAATTCCCACCTTTTGCATGTTAGATTACTCAGGTTCTGAGGTATGCATGTTGCTGTCCTGGACGTCTGTCTTCCGGCTAGTTTTGCTAACTGATTTTGGGTGGGCTGCAGTATCAAAACTGTCTTAGAAGATTTTATTACAACACAGAGAGTCAAGTCCTCCTTTATCTGGCAAGGACGCATTATGAAGCCGAACAGTGGCAAGATTGCAAACGAGCTCTTCTTCGAGCAATTCATCTGGCACCATCTAACTACACCTTAAGATTTGACGCTGCAATTGCAATGCAAAAATTTTCCACGGCTACTTTACAAAAGCCGAAGCGCACAGCCGATGAGGTATGTGAGCGCAGACACATTACACGGCCTAGTGACACAGCTCATATTCGTTACTGATTGATATCTGTTATGCTCAAAGTTTGCAGGAATTTACTGTGTGTTTGCAATCCTTGTCGTGTAGCTAAAGTAGTTGTCTTGAGGCAGATTTACGGTCAAAATAGAGTCGGTACAAAGTAGATTACGTGCTGGTAACATGCAGTCGTTTTCATTTTGATGAGCACAGGTGCGGCAGTCAGTTGCGGAGCTAAAAAACGCTCTTAGACTGTTTAGCCAGTTATCTGGGGTTGCCGCAAGTCATGGTCATGGCTTCGATGAGAAGAAAATTGACATGCACGTGGAGTACTGCAAACATCTTCTAGATGCGGCTAAGGTTCATCTAGAGGCAGCTGAGCGTGAAGAGCAACAAAATCGCCAGAAGCAGGAAGTTGCACGTCAGCTGCACCAGGCAGAAGAAGCTCGGCGCAAAGCTGAAGAAGAGCGAAAGCAGCAGGTTTCAAATTGTGCCATACATCCTGTGTATACAGGGCCGCCTTATATGAAAAGTGCCCCATGCTGTATACTGTTTCTATCATGACCTTGACTTTAGGTCCTATAAGTATTTTGCTTTTATGCACCACTAATTTCGTATTTCCGATTGGGCAGATGGAGAAAAGGTTTCGGGAAGAAGAAGCTAGGAGGCTACAGAGAGAAGAGGAGAAGCTTAGGCATCTCATGGTAATATATTTCCGCATGGATCCAAATGCTGTTCTAGGAATGAAATGGTCAAAGGCTAATATTACAGCTGGATAAGTGGATTCGGGAAGAAAAAGGTTTGGAGCCGATCACCGGCTCGTCGGTAGTCAACAGAATCGTCTTAGCAATGGTTTACTGTTTATGGCATGATGATATTCCTAAATTTTGTATCGCAACCTATAGGCGGGCTGGAACACCAAGAAAGGTGGTGGTGACAATGATGACGATGACAACGGTGGTGAGAAGAAAGAGAAGAAGGAAAAGAAGAAGAGAAAGAAGAAAGAGAAGAAGAGAGAGCAGTCTTCTGAGCCCGAGGAGGAAGGAAACTACAGAAGTCCCACACCTGAAGAAGAAGATGCGCAAGATGCTCTTGCTGCTGCGGGTTTGCTAGAAGAGTCGGACGAAGAGGACATGGTAAGTTCTACGTCTACTCATTATTGTTTTGAATTTTGGACATAAATAGTTGATGCTCAGTACTTGTTCATTGTCTAGATTTACAAATCCTACTTGGTGAGCCTTATATCGACAATCATGCTGTAACCCTCGCTAAGTCAAGAAACCGGTAGTATATATATATATACTACCAGTTTCTATATATATATGTGATGGCCGTGACCCCTCCATCCCCGCTTTTGGTGCCGCTCTGCACTGGAGTCGACATCTAGGACAGAGTTGTTGCCATTTTCACCTAATTTGTGACTATGGTTTCAGAGAAGAGAGGATCCGCCACCGAAGAAAGGAAGGCTGAGACGAGCCCTTTCAGAATCAGATGATGAAGATGGTTCTCGTAGGAGGAGAGCTGTTGCAGATGAACATTTGGCAGACAGTGAGGCCGAGATGGAATATCCGAAAGGACTCGAGGATTCTGATACGGAAGAGCAGCGCCCCGTTAGCAGGCGAAGAGGAAAGAAGACGAGGCTGTCTGAGAGTGATGAAGATTAGTCATTGTAGTCATTCACGATGTAGCTGTTCATTTGATAAGCGAGATCATCTACCTTAACGCATAGTCACCATTCAATTTTGTAGAAGTCATCAGCAACCATAGTTTATCTCCTCAATACCTTCAGTCACGTTCATTGTAGAGCTGGGAAATGGTACTTATATCAGTAGATAGCCCGAAACATTCGGGCAGAATGTTCACATCTTCTAATACGTGCTTCCTCGGGTTGAGCTCCAGAGCATCCACAACCTCCCTGATGTACAGAAGTAAACCGAGGATTTGGACTATACCAGAGTGGGAAGAAACGATCTTCTTCACTCGAATCGATTCCTGGCGATTGAGGTTCTAGATAGAATCTATCCCAACTTGTATGGGACTGATTTACTCTATCTCCAAGTAGGTCATAGTAGAGTGGGAAAGAGCTATACAGCTTGCAACTGCTATCGTATTGTAATGCCGTAGGTCCGAGCTTAACAGAGCTGCCTGAGTAGTTGCCCACAAAGTCTTGGCAGATTATTCATGATGTACATTGCAAGGATCGATATTGTAAATACGGTACCAGATTATAGGTCCTGAAACTTCTGATCGTCATCCCATCTTGTTTTGCTCAAGCCTGAAGAGTGATTTTTGTTTTTACTTCAGATCGTGAATTGACACGATTGATGTAATTGGGACTGGATTGAGTTGGAAAATCGTCTTGGTTCATGAGTGGAATACGACCTACTTTGGCTCGACCAACTCGTATAGAGGATGCTATTCAACTTCAACATATGACCTCTGCACTCGTGACTTTTGCTGGAAATACTTATGAAGGTTTCTGATTGATTCTTGATAATCTGTAACGGTGAGATCAAACATTTTCGATCCTAGACTTATCTCACTGTTTCGATCCTAGATCTATATTCAAAAAATTGTAGTGAACCAATGTATATTTTAATTTCATGATTATTTTGCTATCGTTCTTCCTGTATCAAACATTCACACGCTTACTGTCTTTGGTGGATCATTGGCTTGGATTTCATACTACGTGTCTTAAATCTGTTTACCTGGTCTTGAATCTTGGTCTTAAATCTTGTTTACCTGGTCGAATGACTGTCATTTTGCGTAGCGAAATGGTTGTGACTTGTGTGAACTCCAAATGTGATTCCAGTTTTGGAAGCCAAGGCAATGCTCCATTCCTCACAGAGCACGTACAGAATAGAGGAAGCAGATAAGTTATTTATGTTGGCCAGGCCATCTCGTTTGGGCAATGCTCCCTCCTCAAAACTGCAGTGATATAATCTTTGCTCCGCATGTATGGAGCTAGTTTTAATATTGTCTCATAATTTCTCAGTATCTCAAAATTTCTCCAATTCGCACTTGTTACTTTTACTACATCCATGAGGTTTCACATCAAGTTGGTTCACATCTCCATCGTTCTCGTGCGAATGTGATCATTGTAGTCAATAACCCTTCGTAAGCATAATTGCTTATGATGTTTTTGATGACACAAGGGTTGAGTTGATTATATTTTCATTTGAAAATCAAAGTACATTAATACTCGATGGCATTAGAATTTTAATGTGTTGATGGCAGGTGAAATTATGCATTAAACTTAAAGAGAGTGTTGGTGTATGTCAGATGAGAGTGAATACCGTAGAGATTTGGTTTGAGAAAACTAAATTTCGGTTGCATATGTGGTGGTTGTAGTTACCGCAACTGATAGAGCTTATCGGGAGTCGATAACCTACCATCATGGATGAGAAATGTGGCGACGGCATGTCTTAAAGTAAAGGGCTATGGAGATGAATCAGCTAGTTGTTGTCCTAACATCAGAGTTACATACATCTACGGATGAGGAATTTTACATGTTCCTCAGTTAGTACACTAAAACCTATTATACCAGCATGTGTATCAATTTCTCGAGCCTATTGTGTAAGTGATTTTAGATATCGTGTTTCTATTGCTTTAAGTTCAACTGACTAACGCTGTACATAGGTGAAAGGGTACCCTATAAATATGCACGATGAAGGAAGGAATATATATAATATGCACGATGAAGGAAGGAATATATATAATTCTATCTGCTTTAGTCCTATTTCATGAGTCTAGTTATACTCAAATATCCAACATAATTACAGGTTTTCCAAGTCACGGTGCTCCTCTTTTTTCCAAAATCTTCATGCTCTTGTGATTCTCCAGGAATTTTCCAGAGTACAATATATTCAGCGGCATGTACAATGAATTGGAGAACCCACGTTGTACGCGTAATATCACATAGCATGTCCGGAGGCCAGGAGTCCAATATGGCAACCAGCAGGGTAGCACCTTATTTGTATGATGCACTGTTATATTCTACTCGTTCTAATATTAAACATCATTTCCTTCTAGAGCCTCATCGCATTCCGCTGTTGCACATTGTTCAAAAACCTGTTGCTCAAAACTTCAACATTTGTTGGAATGGGTGATCATTTGAAATGGCTGAAGTGCATTCCAACAATAGCTGCAAAATGCAAGTTGTTCTGGCAAAGCGAATCTCCACACAAAGGTTGCACTTGGTTGCAGCTGTCATCATCCGTAGATAGCATGTGTTGCCAGCGTATTTTCATTATGAACTTCGTCGCAAGGCTAACCTCGTGCATTTGCAAGTAAAATAGCTTTCGTCTTCCATTTCAGAACTTTACTCATATCTCCATCCAATCATCTGCACCAGGCAAAAATCGCTCCAAAGCGAACTCGGTCCTGAGCTCCACAAAACTGAATACTGACATCTTGAGCAGTTCACGTGATCTCTATCGTCATCATGTAAAGACGATTTACAGTCCATGTTTTCGGCAAGCGCTAGGCATATCTCTAGTCCGTCCATGACTATATGGCTATATATGTACGAATAGGCACGAACTTTTATTACCGAAAGGGCTGGCTTTCGTACGTATAATCCATGGCTATATATGTACAAATTTGAAAAAATATATTTGAAGAGTGAGCAGAAGAAGATAATATTCTGGTGCTGTGCTGAGCCTTCTCGTCTTTCGGATGGGTAAATAAAATCATGCAGATTCGAATCCTTGAGTCACTGCAGAATACGAACACTGTGAAACACAGGGATTTTTTGTGTGGATAATACGGTCCTGCTATTCGTTGACTTGGCGATGCGATGAAACGTTTTGTGCAAGAAATCCTGCTCATGGCCACTTTCTTCACATAAGTAGAGACTCGGGGGGAAGAGGAGGCAAACCGAGGGTTGTGGTGCTCTGCATCTGCGTTCATAGAATCAAATCAGCAAACAACAGTCTTGGAAGACTTGCACCTTCTTTCTGACATCGATCTCTAGATCTGTGCACACCGTACTAGCGGCTTGGAAGACTTTCACCTGCTCATGCTCGTGTGGAGAAGCCCCGTGAGGCTGGATCTGGGTTCCATTGCGAGGATGAGGTGATCTGTGGCAGTGATATTGCAATGCGCTCTCGGTGCACTTTAAGGGAATAACCATGCTATGACATCTCCATCGAGCGGATTAGTGGCCGCCGTGACGATGGAGGCGATGAGAGGAGTTAAAGATATGGACCATTGTGCACCGAGCTGCTTAGACCTACGTACAAACTTTTTTTGAGGAACTTGAAGTTGCAATATCTAGTGGAATGGTCGATCATTAGATTGATTTGTGGGGCTGTGATTTTTCCACCTGATGTTAGCATATGTAAGTCCATGCCTTTAAGTTCAGAAGTAGTTCAATAGACTCGTATATCATTCCGTTTCGTCTGCAAATACTCGTCGCGTATCGTGTGCGATCTCCTTTCCGGCAGAATCCATTCCTTCGAACTAAACCAGGCTCTTACGTTAGCGAATGCTAACTTGTTCGCTTTCTATCGAGCCTTGGACATGGCAGACATCTGCTTGGTGTGTTCAGGGATCTGCCCTAGCTAGGGCTGCTCGGACTCTGATATATGAGAACCCTATCTCTTCCAGCGCATTTATGAAATTCTCGATAACGTTGCGTCTCTAGAGATCTTGCTAGAAATGAGATATTCCAGAATAATGGGCTTGTGTAGGGGTCGATGAATAAGTTCTAGATCTATGGAGGGCATTGAGAAGAAGATGGGCGGAGCGACCGATCTTCGATTGTTGCGATGGCGAGGCAATGAAGCTGGGACAGCAGATCTCCCATGGCAGGTCTAATGTCTGCATAGTGAGAAGTGACTATCCAGACGCTGTACCTGCCATTGGAGATCCGCATTAAAAGCTTGGACAAGCATTGTTGCAATCGGATCGCTTCGGCTAGACAGCGTCTTCTGTGCACCGTCTGCGATTGACGACTCGAATCGTGTACGAGTTCTGTAGATCAGAGCGCAGATAGATCGTACGCTGGAAGTCCATATAAATGTTGACAGGACGACGATACGCTACGAAGAACCAGCGGGCGAGACGTCATTTGTAAACGTGGAAGCGGGAACCAAGTTGCGGTTAACACAGTACAATGAAGTATAAGCCAGTTCGTGACGAGAGGTTTGAAGCCTTACATGTTAAAGATCAAGCTTGATTTTAGAATCACTTATCTTGTCCGAGAAAGTGATCAAATATAAAACAAACTGTGACAGATGACCCGAAGAGGCCCTGCATACAAGAGAAGAGTTCATATCCATTAACGCTCCTCTCTTGCTTCCTCTCTAATCCACGAGAGATCGGACGGAGAAGATCAAGAGGCAAAGTCGGTTCATCGATGCAGATGCAATCGTGGGCAGGATCTACGATAAGTGCGGACGGAGTATCTACCTTACGGAGTTGAAAGTAACGATCGTCTTGTCGCTGGTCACTCGCAGCTTTAAGTTCATCGTGAAATGTTTGCACATGAATATGTTGTTCCGTTTGGAAATGCCAAGAAAGTACGCTATGAAGCGCAAATTAACCTGAATAAACCTTGGATGCCAACATGACCATCCAGCTTTACTACAATGTTTGACCTTCCGGATGCCTTCAGCACCCTCTCTACCAGTGCATACGAAGAATGAATCAGAGGTGTTGACTCACACGAGCTAGAATGTTAAATACCCTCGCAAGTTTCCAGCGAAACCTGATATTACTATCTTCGACATAAACTACTAAATAACTAATCTCCACTAAGAAACAAATAGAGAAAGTCCAGAAGCTTCCCAGCTACTTAACATTCACCCCACACTTATAGCCAAATCCGTCCTCGGATGTTTACTAGTCTAACAAGTCTACATAAGCTTTCTTCAATTTATCATGATTAATTGTATCCAGATAGTTTGTGTCATCTAAATTGAGTAGGGAATAAGTACTGTTTGACGCGAAGACCTCATTATCATCATTCGGTCCAAAACATTTGATTAGCAGTTTCTTATGAGCACTTCGAAAGTGCCGAGAATCGTATAACATCATCAATTCTTCCGTCTTGAACACCCGCTTCTTTACCTTTGCATCCCACAACTTCTTCATTTTCGCTTGAGCCACCTCAATTGCCAGTCTCGCCCGCAATTGGAAATCAGAAATTGTCCAATTCATTAAGTTGTACCAGCCTTCTTCGTTGTGACTCATCCAGATTCAAACATGCGTTCAAAACGGTGCTAAGTGTCATCAGTTCATATTCCATCGGAAGTAAAGTCTCAATGCCATAGGCTAAACAAAATGAAGAGAATCATGTAGCCGTTTTGAATGTCGAGTTATAAATCTACATTGCATGATGGATCTTGAGATCCCAATGGCTAGTTTCCGCTTCCTTTGCAATCAGAGAACATAGTATCTTGTTTCTTTGTTCTACCAGTCCGTTTTTACTTGGTTTATACATAGTCGTAAACCTATGTTCAATTGCTAATCGTACCATCAAATCTGTCCACACATCACTTGTGAATTGAGTTCCGTTATTAGATACCATCTCCAACAAAATACCGAAGTGGCTAACAGAGGTAGCACAAAAATCGTGCTACCTCTGTCTTGATCAAAGTCTTCAACGCCTAAACCTCCACAAACTTTGTCAAATAATCCATGGCAATTACAATCAAACGGTGTACCTTTCTTGTAACAGGCAAAGGTTCCATCAAATTGATACTTCATTTCTCAAATGGGTCTAATGAAGGAATGGCATGCAAGTTGCCGCTAGCCGTAGATTTATTGGCAAACGCTTCACATATCTCACAAAGTTTACAATATTCAAAACTATTCTTGAACATAGTTGGCCAATAGTATCCGGCTTGCAACCTCCGGGCTGACTCTCACTCAGGTTTACCTCTGATGGCTTTGCGGTAGCGTATCATGGTTCTAGAAGACTAGGATTCATCCTCACACTCATGTCCCAAACACCTTCTCTCACAAACTCTCCATGTATCACTTCAACTTACACACAAACTCTCCTCACATCACTCTCTTCACATAAACGCAAACACACGTCAATACTCCAAGATACTCAAAAACTTCACTCCTTCATTCCTGAAACAAGTCCTCACACATGTCTCTCTAAACTTGCTTGAGAGTTGATACTCTACCTCTCTATTTATATTACTTGAGAAGTTACCATAGTAACATGTGGTAATTTCTCATAACTTACTTTTACCTAGGTAAGTTTGACTAATCCTCTCTATGTGACAACATGCCATTGGTTTAGCTAAACCTTCTAGAAGTTTCCAAAATCCAAGGTTGAGGTGGCGACATGCCATTGGAAACTTTTAAACTTCTACAAGCTTCTTAGCCACTAAGTCAACACTAGACTTAGTCTAACCAATCATCTTTCATACATTTTAGTCTAACCAATCAACTCCGAGCTTTAAGTCAAATATCTAATCCTTTGGAATCTAGAACTTTTGTATAAGACAAAATAGAAGTGCTCACTCCTTGTAAAAGACAAAATAGAAGTGCTCACTCCACTTTTCTAGAACTCCGCTAATTAATCCGCCAACTATAGACATTGTAGCCAAACATAGTCATGACTAGATAAATTTAGTTATAACTAACTAGTTTAGTCATAACTAGCTGGACTTAGCTATGCCTTGGCTAATCGTACTTAATCACTTGACCACTTCTAGGACTTAGTACATATGTGCAACACCCGGTCTTACCGGCCGTCAAGATTATTATATTGTAATGCATCCCGCAAAATGTCCATCACAAAATCCTTCATGAACTGTGGTGTCTCTGCTCTTCCCATCGCGCGTCAGAGGATACCATCTCTCCCGCAAAAATACAACAGTTGATCAATCAAAGTGTAAGACCGACTCTTATGTGCAATTCATGTCCTAACTTGTTTGATTGCACCCTCCCAAACATTCATACCTTGGAGATATTGGATGATATCTTTGTACTCCTTTGGTTAGTTGTCAATGTCGACTCACATCAAAATTGAGTTAGGAAAGTCTTCGTCCTCGAAAACAACGCCCACCTACTTTTCCATCCATGAAAGAAAATCAAGATTGTCATGTTTTGTATCTGTGCGATGTACAATCTTCAGGTCAAATTTTTGAAGTAAAATGATACACCGTACTATCGTTCCCGTCACGTTTGGTTTGTTGAGAAGATAAATCAAGGCTTGGTGATCTGTCACCACTATCGTTCGCGTCCCAAGCAAGTAATGTCAAAATTTCTTCAACTAAAACTTCTTGTTCTGTGACTGTGTAGTTTATTTCTGCTGATGTGAGTTGCCTACTAGCAATATATATAGGGTGGTCATATTCCTTTGTATCCAATTGTGCGAAGGTTGCGTTCACTTCTTCTCAGGATGCATCTGTAAAACAAAAATATGGTTTTTCCCAACCTGAAGTCAGTGTAATTGATGTTGAAAATAATGATTGTTTTAGTGTCCCAAAAGCCTCTAATGCCTATGGTGTGGCTAAAGGAGGTGAATTGTCATACTTTAAGAACCTAGTTAAAGGTTTGGCAATCATGGCGTATCGTTGAATGAACCTACGATAATAGTCAGTAATTCTCAAAAAGTATTTAACTCCACGTTTGATGGTAGAAAACGATGCTCTTAAAATAGCCTCTATTTTTTCCGCATTAGTATTGATCCGCTCCTTGGAAACAATGTGACCCATCAATCTACTAGACAAAATTCCAATCTTTGTTTTTTTTGCGCTTAGTGTGATATTTGATTCATCAAAGCGCTCAAAAACCTTCTCTAACTTCTCCAAGTGTGAAGCCCGATCTTCATAAATTTCAAAATCATCCATAAATACTCGTACAAAATGTCCTAAGTAGGGTTCTAGAACTTTATTCATAAGTGATTGAAAAGTAGCTAGAGCATTGCAGAGTCCAAATGGCATTACCTCGTAACAAAAGTACCCCATGATGATGTGAAGGTGGTCTTCAGTTGATCTTCCTCCGCGATTCTCACTTGATGATATACGCTGTAGCCATCCGCAAAATACTAAAGTTCATGCCCCCACCTCCTCAAAAACTTTGTTGTAAAACGGAATGAGTCACCTATCTTTCTTTGTGACGTTGTTGAGTTTTTTGTATTTCACACAAACTCGAAAATTGCCAATTTTTTTTAGATACAAGATACCCACTCAATGTTCTTCACCGGTTGGATGAAGCCGACTTCTAGTAGTTTTTTCAATTCTACTTTCACTACATCGGCATATTTGGGATTCATACGATAAGGTTTCTGCCGCACCGCCTTCGCATTTTGGACAAGCTCAATTCGGTGTGTTTCTAAAGTAACTTCCCGTAAATTCTTGTAATTGAAGACAAATAGATGAATGAACTTACGTAGCAGGTAGTGAAAACATTCCAGCTCTTGAAGAGACAATCTTGCGTCGAGTCAAATCTGATTCAGTCTCCATGCTATCTCCTCATCTGTCAAAATCGGCTTCTTCCTGGTTGGCGTTGTTGATAACTTCCTTTGTAGAGTAACTTCTCCCTTTGGAACCTCTTCAATTGCGTAGAGCCCCTTTTCATCGTTTGAGGAATCATCGGTGTAAATCTCTTCTAATTTTGAATAGTTAGACTCTCTTGAATCCAAGTTGAATTTGTTAGATACTGGTGCACCTCCTAGAGGAACAAAAGGAATGCGCTGTCGATGTGGTCCCTTTTCAATCATCATGTATCCCTCGGCCAAATAATTCAGTACATGTGACTTCGTCAACCACGGTCGTACTAAGATCATGGGATATGATTCAATTGCTTCTAACAGCACGTGAAAATCTACTTTAGTGGAAATATCTAAAATGTTGATTCAAACATTGGAAATCATACCTTGAGGTTTACAAATTTTTTTTTGGGCCATTTTCAAGCTAATGGGTGACAATCTTTCAATTTCAAAACCAAATACTTCATTGCTGATATAGTCATTACATGGACACCCACTCCTCCATCGACTAGGACACCTCTCAACATAGACTCATTACATCCAACATCTATTATCGGATCATATTCTTATTCAACTGCAATAGTATTAAGGGACCTAGAGATAGATGGATACTTATATGCTAACAAACTATTCTTCAACTCCTTACAAACATATGGAACCATTACCACCAGTTAGCCAATAATAACGTCTGCATTCTTTCCTCTCACGTCATTCAAGATTGAATATGAACCGTGATTATTTGAGATTGGAAAGAATAAATAAATCAATTCTTCTACGTCAAGACTTTTTTTTGTCCTTTCTCTCTAGCCATCTCCTTCATCCGCTTCACGCTTTCAGGTTGAGATTCTTCTTGAAGTCTCTTTGCTGCCATTACATGCATCTTATTTTGTAAAGACTGGTCAAAGTGACCGATTTTTTTCTACCAAAATTCATCTTGAATATCAATCAAATTCAATCGATCCCTTCCACTCTCATCTGCAAATGATATCCGTCTTGGCAAAAGTCCTTTCTGTCCTTCACGACTGCTTGATGCATCCCGACTAGACCAATCTCTCGAAATCTGACCCATTTTCTTGCAAGCATAGGATTGTAGCTTGTTTAAGTCCCGCTCTACACAGCTTCAAGGCTGAAGTAAATGAACACTCAATTGTGTCATTTGAGACA